ATGCATAGTCTTGTGCATGGTCTTATGAATTAAATGGTCTTGTGCATGGTCTTGTGCATGGTTCTGTGTCTGGTCTAGTGAAAGGTCTTGTGATGGTCTCAACCACAACACTGGTTTGCATAGTTTCTTGCCCAGGCTGTGTGTGTACCGTACACTGTAGACTGCTCTGCTGTAAGGTGTTCCATATGATGCAAGATATGTGGCAAAAGGGGGATCCCCCTCTATTGTGTCTTCATTCGTGTTGATGGAATCTTTGGGATTCCATTCAGATATCCGAGGGGAGTGCAGTAGGCACAATAGCCATAGGGTATACAGCTTGTGCATCCCATGGGGGGTCCCCCTTTCCCACATATCGTGCTGGGTATCAGGTGTTGGCAAAAGTGAACTTGGTGCCAGTGTCCTTATGAATAAACATGTATCTACATGTATATGCTGCGTTTCATGTTCATCCCTATACAGTCTCCACACTGCAGACAATTCTGCCTTTCTAATATGTATAAGGTTTTCAAAGCTTTTTTTAAAAATAACTTTCCAATGCATGTGTAGTGCTGTAAGCAAATCTCCTTATCAATATGTATGAGGTGTTTCATATGCATCGCTTACATAGCCTATACACTGCAGGCTGCTCTGCTGTAAAGTGCTGGCAAACTGTATGCCAATGTCCTTAATGTCTTCATCCGTATACTCCATGGGTTCGCCGATGTCAAACACCGACGTGCTGCGCATGGGCAGCAGGCCTGCCTGGTTCTCCATCATCACCTCCACCTGAAAGTTGAAGATGCCTTGGTTCATCCAGCGGTTCATGATGCGCACACTGTTGTCCTTGTGGATGAAGACGCCCAGCTTGGAGAGCAGCGGGGACCGGGCCAGCAACATCCCTGCCTGGGGGTGGTCCTCGTAAATGTGGCAGAGGTTGTAGATGGACAGGACCATGGCCAGGAAGTGTTTGGTATCTGTGGTAGAGTTGGGAAACAAAAACAACTCATCTCCCCAAAATATACACTGCTGCACTTAGTCTGGAATCTGATACTTGAAAAATGATCAATTCTGCCGTAAACTCACACTGAGATCTTGTGGGGAGGATGGTGTACATGTTACATGTAACCTCTGGCTATACCCCCATTGAATGTTGACACGTGTTCATCTGCTCACAGTGCCACCTTGGATAAAACATGTGCAACCCTGTGTCCCCTAAGAAATATTTCCCTGGTTCACTGCCGGTGAGCAAATGATAGTGGAATTTGAGCACTTCCCACATCAGAAATGACAGTGTCTCCTGATGTTGGTCAGGCAAAATTACTGCGGTGTCATTATCTTGGCCAGTAGAACAGGACATAAAAAGTGTGACTGTGAAGTGCTCCTGTAGACTGTCAGTGTACATTTAATGAATTCTGTGTCACTTACGTAGTTTCATATGCATGTACAAGGTACTTCAAAAAGCACAGACTAAAATTGTACTTGGCGATTTAAAGCCAGTTTCATGGTGCTGCTGAAAAAAGGACCAGCTCTTAGCTTGTCAAAAAGACAGTTTATGAGCAGAAATGCTATAGGACATGTTATTGCTTTTGGTTCAGTGCCGCTCGGGTTCTGAGCAAAGTAGAGTGGAGAAAACTAGTAAGTAGACATGATCATCATGGAGTCCAACCTGTGAGTTAACCAGTCAAGATGGACGTTAAACAGGGTAGTGAGTAACCGAGCAAGCAAGCGAGCAACCAAGTAGGCATCTGCAGACTTTATGAGTGTGTACGTGTACATGTAGTTGTCTGGTATTCCATATTCAATGTATTAAGTTCCGCATGACAAAGCCCCACGAGGCCAATATCTCTTTTATAAATCTGACCCCTCTGAAAACAGGATTTCCTTGTTTATCTTTACATCAGGACTATCTGCTCATTTAATTAACAGCATCTATTGACACTGCAGCTGGCCAGAATGCCCTTTGTTATTACAGTCATTTGCAAAAGTTTAAGGCCACCCATACAAAACGTAGTAACTGGAAGGAAAACTAAACTTCAGCAAACAAATCTCTGAAAGTTACACTTATTTCATTTACTAATTTTCCAACGGTGAGAAATGGTGCTGAAACTAACACTTGTCCCAGTGGACTGCAAAGCTGCTTTGATCTTTCAAGAAGAACTTGACAGATCCTTCAGAACAATTTGCCGGATCACACAGTATTCACGAGGGGCAGTTTTTCTGGGATGGCTGTACCTTTTCTGGTCAGAAAATGAGCCGTATCTTTGAAATTCTGAAATGGCATCGTGCACAGCTGTCTTGCTGCAACCAATTAACCCTCTCGCTAATTTGACATTCAGAGCAGCCCTCTTGATGGAGGGGAAACAATTTGGGTACTTTGAACCTGACTTAGACTGGCTTTTTTACCCTCGCTATAGTAAAGACAAAAATGCCACACAAGACCTGTCTTGGCAAAAACTTTCACAGCACTACTGGTACTTTATAAGCCTCTGTAGTAAACATGTCATGTAATCATCTGATGAGACCAAGGAATAAACATGTAGGTCCACTGACAGATATACCCATAAAATTCCAGGTCGTCTTAAACTTTTGCAAATGACTGTACCACTATATGCCGATAACTACTGCAAACTGCAGCCAACAAAAATGACTACCCCTGGATCTGAGGGGTAACAGACGACTCCATACAAGATTTAGGAAATGCACTAATTCGGGCATTTGTGAACCAATATCAGTGGTTAAAACCAGAAAATGTGGTTTTGTAAGTTGACAAAACTAAATATCTCATTAATTTAGCAACTTTAAGAAAGTCAGCGTGTGTTGAGAAAACCGTAGGCATATACCCCACGTGCTGTTCTGTCAAGTAATATTGCAGAAAAATTGCTCATTGCTTGGGTTTGGCACCTGAATGCTAATAAAATCCCTAGAAGTCAATGGAATAGCTGATTAGGGATTCTTGAAGTCCTGGTACGGCCCAGCAAAAGCCCAAGTTTGTTTAGGTCAGATATTCACATTTTCTGGTAAATGGGAATTTACGGCATGTTGAATGTGTGTAAGCATTCTGCTAAAGTTCCACGTTTCAACACTTGCTAGAAACTCAAATGATGAAAAAATTTAGTGACTACACTCACCATCAACAAAGGCCATGGCAGCACCCACAAATTCACTCTGGGCGATCTTATGGATAAACTTTTTGGCCTTTGGGTTTTCCCAGTAGGAAGACAGCATGATGTTGGCAATGATATCCAGACTGAAGTAGTACACTGCATGCCAGGGATCGCCCAGCTTGTCCACCTTAAGACAGAAAGGAGGAGGCAGAATTACAGGGTGTCCACATTAAAAAGTCTACTGGGATTGGCATTTCAGGCTATTCATGGTGAAGGACAGCAACAGGTGGAAAAGCTTGCGGTAGCCCCATGCGTGGGAATATATCTCTCTTATGAGTATGTGTGGTTCTGAAAAGAACTGGGAGTGTACTCAACGTTTTAAGAATATCCCGCCCCAGCATCATCAACATTGATAACTACCCCGGCAGGAAGTGGTTAACATTGGTTTGTTCACTCATCTCTGTCAATAACACCACAAGCTGTATAGCACTACAAAGAGGACATTTTTGCCCTCTCTAGAGATATATTTCTCTTAGCCACAAATAAAGTAGTTTTGCCATAACAACAATTACAATCTCAGTACATACTTTTTATGTGGACACCCTGTAAGACATTCTTGGTCAATCACAGTAACAAAAGACTCATTCTCGTCCAAACCCTTTCAAAACTGAGCAGATTTGTGTATAGTCTTTCTTTTAATCATCAAATATTTAATGGATGTGTCACTTCAAAAGGAAAGATCCTTTGTTCAAGGAGATGATGTCTTCACACTGTGGAACAAGTACAGAAACACAGGGGGAAACAGAACATCAAAAAGAGTGTCTGCCACAGGGCAGTTTAAAAAAGTCAACCTAAGTTTTAGGTGGTTGTTCACTCACATCCTGCAATCCAGAGAACTTGTATTTACCTATTGTGAATGAGAAAGGTGTTTGGCAATGATCATCAAGAAATGGTGGGTCTAGCTTCATTGGATCTCACGATATCACCCATTACAGATGGCATGTACAAAACTGACTTGTCCACAGGAGCTTCATTGCTTACAGGCATGATTGAACGCAACAAAGACATGTGAAGTGATCCATTTTTGACAGACATTTTCGTTAGCAGAGGTTGAAGTTATCAGAAGTTGCGCCTTGAAGAGTTTTTAGACTGACTCTTTGCCGTCATTTTGACACCATTTGTGCAAAAATCGAACATACCCTTTTTGCGCAACAGGCATTTTTCTGAGAGGGGTCAGCCAAAAATGTATACTTTTTACACTGCGGTGCTCAACGCACATGTACTGGCATGCATGTAGCCTTGAACTTTAAATAAACAAAACTATATCCCTGATTGAGCTCAAACTTTGCATTTGTAATGATAAGGAGAGTCTGTATATACATGTATGCACGCCAAGTTTTGAAAAATGGGGCATGGCACAGCCAAGTTCTTTGTGGGGGGGGTGGAATCTACCCCTCCCCCACACCCCCAAGATGAGTCAAAATGACCCCACTCCTTGAGGGTTAAATGGAGCTACCTCCCTGAACATTATCAGACACTAGAGCCCCAGGTGCAGCATATTTTTGAGCAACAGCATAATGGAACTATTTGACAGGCCTGGTTTACACAAGATGGAGCTCCAGCTCACAGAAGAGTAGTACCGGTAGTTTGTAGCCGGAACTGTTTCCCAACAGGGTAGTTGGACTTCGTCATCCAACAAATGGCCCCCCGAGGTCACCAGTCCTTACTCCATTAGATTTTTGGCTTTGGGGTGATGGCAAATCCAGAGTGTACAGTGAAGGCCCTCCAAGGTCAATAAATGAACTGAGACAGCAAACTGAAAATTGCCTTACAGCAATCAGAAGAACGTGCCTAATGATACATGCACTGCAACACATGCAAGACAAAGCACTGCCTAATGCAACATGCAATGCAACACATTCAAGAGAGAGCACTGCCTAATGCAACATGCAATGCAACACATTCAAGACAGAGCACTGCCTAATGATACATGCACTGCAACACATGCAAGACAAAGCACTGCCTAATGCAACATGCAATGCAACACACGCCAGACAGAGCATTCACATGTATTGTAAACCAAATCTTGGCAACTAAAGGCAAGATACATGTAGTCCTATGGACAAGTCAGTTTTGCACATGTCATCTGTAATGGGTGATATCCTTAGATCCAATGAAGCTAGACCCGCCATTTTTCAGGATTATTGCTAAACACCCTACTCATCAACACTACATAAATACAAAGTCTCTGAATTGCAGGATGCATGTGAACAATCACCTTAAACTTGGGTTGACTTTCTTTGGAACCACACTGTAATGCATTCTCGTTTACCTCATCTGCGGGATTGGAAACACGAAGCTTTAGGAGCAGAATGACAACATCTAATATTCCACATTCTATTAGGAGATTCACAAAGGGACGCCATTCCACAGTGCGCTGAAGACAAGATGAATTACACGATAAGAGTAGTTAATGAAGGAGACAATATTATCTTGCATTTACATGTAACTTGGACCTTGACAAAAAAGGAGGAAATTCCAACATTTACACGACTTTGTACAGTCAGTTTTCAATGGCATGAGTGTGAAGTGAAAAGAAGAAAATCAGCTGATCCAAGGAAAAGTTACACGCCTGTATTATGAAATACTAGAGAAAGTCCTCTACAGCACTGTCCTATTCTGGCACTTGTTTGCACGGACATACAGGGAAAGAGAGGTAGAGGTAGTCAACCAGTTTATCGTCAAATCCTTTCACAAGTCCAGTCACAAGTGCCTGCACAAGTTAAGTCAGACCTAACTTTGTGAACAATTACAAAGAAATGCTTTTGTCACAGTTCAGTTGATTAGGTTATACATGTACACGTAGCTTGGTGAAAGATTAGATGGCTTGGCTCAACGCTGGAATACTTATGGTGGGTTTGAAGGCCGTTGTGATGGTCTAAACCACAGCACTTGCTGCAAAGGGCTTCATGTCCTCTGTGCACTGACAGCGGCTTTGGACTATCTTCCTCAATCTTGCAACTTTCTGCAACAACCTCCTGGTCAATTTTCGCAGGATTATTCAACCATTCTAGGCAATTCAGTGGTGACTTATAAAAAAAGAGGATACCAGATAACTTCTTAAAATACAGTACATACACGTACATTGTACCCAGGACAGCATTGATTTGAACCCAAACAGAAAAAAGTAGACTGCACACCAGAAAGCAGCATTTGACACTTTCCATTTTGCTAACAATAGTGAGATTGATAATTACCTGTTCACTCAGGGGTACAGGAATATGGTCTGGAGTAAGTTTCTTGAAAAAAGTAACCTGTAAAGCAACCACATGCAATGAAAAAGTGGCATGTTAAAAAAACAGGAAGAGTGAATTTAGCCAGGGATGGCCAAATTTGGTCTAAAATGCTATCTTAGCACAGGTATCGGTGACCGGCTATTATCAATGATGAAGCTGCTTTACGATACACCATACATGTACAGGTACACGTACGTGTAAGTATTTGGGAAATTGATTACCCATTTTACAGCAGTGTTACCGTTTCTAACCCTACATGTAACTGCTGCAGTATCCATCAAACTCCAACGGCAGGTTTTGCTAGATTTTGGCAGGTTTGGTACCGTACCCGATTATCTTCTTGTTGAATTTTGTTGGACTTGGAATCAAAGGCCACGGGTGATGTGTTGGATTCTGTGTGAGTTGAAACACACACGTGTCACTGTGTGCAGTGTCTGGCTTGCTGTACCAATCGTTGGACTATGCTTGATTTTGTCAGGTTTGGTACTGTTCAGTGCAAATCATCCTATACTGCGTAGACCCATCCACACCATATCACTCAAACTCAGTCACTTTGTTGGAGTTTATCAGGTTTGGTACAGTCATGACAGTGACCTGAATGTACAAGAACATACATATACACGTAGAAGTTTGTTGGGTTCAGTGTGCTCCCTGGGGCAAGAGCCTGGAGGGTTAGGGCAATACGGCACAGAGGGTACAAATGGTTAATTGGCTATCGACACAAGTGGTCAGATTCAAGTCAGGCACACAGAAGGAGATATTATTCTTTTTTTTATTTAGGCAGTGGACGTAGTGGATGTTTGACCAAGAATTGGTACCAAAGTCATGAAAGTTGCTTGAATTGTTTTATCACCAGCAATGTGACTGAGCACTAGCACTGAGGGTGTTTGGGGACTTGCGTTACATGGAAAGTTTATCAAGTTGGTTTTCCTGCTTAAATTTTCATTGCAAATTTCTATTTCCATATTTTCATAATTAACAGATGGAACAGACATACATGTACATGTATTACAATTTTGGATGGTAAAGATAAGAATTCCCTAGATGGACATCACTAATATTACCTTGCAATGGTTACCAGCCATAAAAAACCGATAAAAAGTCCTAAAAAGTCAAAATTTGAAAATTTTAGAAAACACTCAGAAGTTAAGGTGCACAGAGTTCCAAGTGATGTCTGCATTTGGAATTCTCTCCTTTTGAGAATCACTTCCCTTGAACAAACTTCCTTCAAAGTCACAAACTATGAAAACAAAAACATTCTCCAATAATGAATTTGAAATATTAACTCTTTGACTGCCATGCATAATTTCAAAGGGGCATTCCCATTTGCCAAGCGTTGTACCATGGTTGTATGCATATGCACATAATAGGTACATCTTTCGGGTGTCTGTTTGAACATGAGCATTTAACAGATCCCCTCCACTTGCCAGCAGCATCTATAGAGTACCGAAGTGAATACGTCACGCGCACAATTCTGTGTGTAAAAGGCATTACGGCAAGAACCAGCGCGTGAGCCAACACGCGTGCATACTCCATTCGTTTGTACTGCACTTCTGGTTCACAGTGACGTCACACTTCGGTGCTCTATAGGCGTATTTGTTGTTTTTCTCCCTCAGAATTTTAGAAATTTAGGGGTGTACCGGTAGGCCTAGGTCATCATAGGTTACCTCCAAGTAGCAGGGTACCCCCAGAACTGTGGGGTCTGATGTCTGCCCTGCTCCCATGTGGGAGTGGGGTGGATGTTGGACCCCACAGTTCTGGGGGGTAGCATGCAACAGGGGTATTCTCAAGTTGGTTCATTGGTACACTATTTAATCATTATATAGCCTAGTACCGGTTCCACATGACTGAGAGACGACAAAATGTTGGCACAGTTAAACCTTTCCTGAACACATAAATGTAGGCCTAGGCTAGGCCTACTCTGGGTTTCTGAAAATAACACTGGAAAAAAATCCCAATTGGACCTTGTTTTGCAACTTGGCCATCATGAGCGCCTTCTGAATGCCCCTCATGACCTCCAATTGTTTGTTTCTCCAGTCTTTGTCTTTCGCTAAGTTTGAAGACACTGTCTCCACGTCCAATGACTCAGGGAAATTGCTCCGGCTGACGCTGAAAAGAAGCGACCTTAAGAATTCCTCCCGTGCACGCAGGGTGGGCTGGAAAAACACTTCTTTGATCGGGTGAGCCAGGCAGATGGGACAACGGGCGGTATTCCGCTCGCCTGTAGAACGCCACGGAACCAGCTTGTGTCCTCCAGGACACATTGAAACATTCATGGTTCGGATTTCCACTCAAAGTTAGCCTCTCAAAGTATACAGCTCTTGAAGTACAAATATGAACTAAAACTAAAAATTTAACATAAGTGACAAAACAGTGAAAATACCATCCGCTTGCACGCGTGTCGCTGATAAAGGTAATATTTACACGTCCGTAATTAGCACTAGAGGGCGCACTTTTCTATCTAGTTCGACTCGCCCGGCCAGTTACATTACGTTTCTACGTACGTACGTACGCTCGTACGTAGCCGGGTTGGACGCGTCATGTTAGGCGTCTGCCTCGAGTGGGGCCACGGTGGACCACGCCTAGCCCCATAGCATCGGGCTACCAGCTCTATCGCCTCCCACTAGTGGAAGGGATATTTTGGAATAACACAGGAATAAATGGCATTGATGCAGAAAATAATCTTTTGCGGTACTGTGTTACCTATAGCCACCCGCTCCCACGCGGTGACGTAGGTCTACATGTACACTGTACATGTACATTCAGAAGCAGAGGCGTAAATTATCGTGGGGTTGGGGAGGAGGTATTCCCCAACTTTTTTTTGGGGGGGGGGGAATCATCCCCCACGCCCATTATTGTAGTGAGCAAAGATTAAAGTTGATCGTGAAGAGTATTTCGGACTTCCCAAGGACTAAATTCATTCAATATAGGCCTATCAATCAAAAAGGGGAAACAATTTTTAAAAACCAATACATGTGTATGCCAATTCTGGTGTAAGATATTCTGTATAATTAATATTACACTCATACAGTTCAATACCACGCATATTGACCTCTGTATGAAGTCATATGGGATCCCCTTTACTTCTCAATTTTTCATGGCCGGGCAAGTTATCCCCCCTACCTTTCCGCATCCCCATCCACCAATTTCCAGCGTGAGAACAAATTTACACCACTGATCGGAAGGTTCCAGCATCGGAGTCCCCCCCCCCGTGGAATTTTATGCCCTGCACAGCAGCGAAGCCACGAGGGGAGGGGGCGGGGAACGTTCCCCCTACAAATTCCCTGTTCAGTATTCTCAGTCCTTACTGAGAATACAGTGTTAACCTACACGTCGGCGTGACGAGGACAAAACTTGCTGTAAAAAATATCGAACGTCTATAAAAGCTCTGAGGTTACAAGTGCGTCAGGTGGATGGATTTATCGGCACATAATGCAAGTATGGGGGATCAAGTAAGCGTCGGGGAGGAGTCAGACTACACTTATTTTGCGGGACGGTCTGTCGGCATGGCATAATGGCGCCCTCATCGGCGCAATGGTCTAGCGACGATTGCGCGAGGTTGTGACACCTGTGCTCCTTGTTTACCGAATTTCAAAAATCACAATTCTGGGTCAATCTGACCCGGGAGTTTTTAGAGTGTGTGTGTTCATTAATCCGAATTAACTTCGTTCGTTTAGGCCACATTTGGTGCGAGAGTACTCCGAAGGTAGTGCATTGGGATACTTTGGGTCCGACTTAAGAATTAATTAAACATGGTATGCATGGGTAAAATTAACTTTCAAAAGTGACGGGAGTGTGTCTATGCCCCAACTTGCATAAGTTAACACTGAGGACTTCTTTCTATACATGTTCAGTGTAATTAGTTCACAGCACAGTGTAATACGTTCACAGCACAGTGTAATACCTTACATTTGCCATCTAAAGATTTCACTTCAGGAACAAAAAAAGCCTAGAACCAAGTTCCCATATCTTAAATTTTATTTTTTAGTAATTCAAACTGTATGCCTCTCACAAACCTGGTATCTTGAGTGGCATTGTGTCCCCTTGTTACAGCAGGTGTAACTACTGCATCTGGGCAGATGTGGAGAACCCAAAGAAATTTGGTACTGAGGTTCATGCGAAACTTCAGCATTGGGAAAGCAGGCTTTGAGGGCTCCATCTCGCAAGAAGTCTTGGCGCTAATCCGAGAACTGAAAAAATTCAGAGAGAAACCGGTAAAAACTGCACATCTTTTCCACAGTGCCATCTCAAACATCATTTGCTTGGTTGTGTACGGCACAAGGTACGACTATGATGATCCCAAATTCAAGGAGCGTCTCAAACTAATAAATCGCACCTTTGAGCTACTTGGTTCAGGCAGCATCTTCTTCATGCCATTCACCGATCTGGTGGCTGGGATCATACCCTCCCTATGGGAGCTGACTCCAAAACTTTATAAAATTCACCAACTTTGTCAGGGGAGCCCTCCTTTGGCATCAGGCAGACTTCGATCCCCAGAGAGACCCAACAGATTTCCTCTACCTGTGTCTGAAGAAGGAGCTTAAAAACGGGAAGGCTAACCTGGGTGACGTGATGAAAACCTCAGGGGATCTCTTTAATGCAGGTACGGAAACCACTGCTACCACACTGCAATGGAGTCTGCTCTACATGATAGCTCACCGAGAGACACAAGCTCAAGTTTAACGGGAAATCGATGCCATTGTTGGTAGAGATCACCTCCCACAGATGTCCGATAAACCACACCTCCATTTCACTGAGGCTACTATTCTTGAGGTTCAACGTATCAGCAATGTCGTTCCTCTTGGTGTACCTCACCAGGCTAGAGAAGACGCCACAGTCATGGGCTACACAATCCCTAGAGGAACCATCTTGCTGCCAAACTTTTGGGCTTTGGGGCATGACCCAAAGGTGTGGCCAGAACCACACCTGTTCAAACCAGAAGGGTTTTTGGACAAGGATGGTCAAGTGACCAAGAAGGATGAGTTCACGCAATTTAGTGTAGGTAAGCAAAATTCCCTGATTCTGAATCTGAGAGTTTAAGTACATGAAGTCCTCCAAGCATCCATCCAAGCTTGTGTGAAATCACATTTGGGGCCCCCTCGCAGGAGACCTCTGTGTAATGGCCTTTCAGAACCAATCAGGAAAGGATGTTTTGCTGAGCATAGAATAGATATAGATTAGTTACTTTCATGCCAAGTTCAGCAAAGAATCTCTTTGACAATTTAGGTTCAAGTCGGGAGGGATATGACATTATCATAAAATCCCTGACACCACATTAATCTAACGCCATGCTGTAGCGGTGTGTTGTGTGCATTATTTCCTGCGCAGTAACCTGAAAGGCACTGCACTGACTGACAACACAGTGGAGTGTTTTGTATTTTAAGTATAGGGTTGACCTGGGCTTGATCTTCAAAAAGAACATCTAAGCTCCCCCCCCCCGGTTACTGCAAATGTTGCTGTCAAACAATTAAACACAACTGGGGAGTCCATGTATACTGTACTACCATGAAATGTAAGCCTGTCAAAATTAGTTGTCTGCGGCTGGGTGTATCATGCATGTCTGAAGGATATGGTCACAGCCGCTGGTCAGTGTCTTTCATTAGCTCATGTATTATTCTCAGCCATAACACATGATGCAGCCAAAAACTGTAATTATGGGGCTAATATCAAGGTGCTGTACAAATACTGATTCTGTTGAATTTGTGTACAGGACGTCGCATGTGCCTGGGGGAACCTTTTGCTAAGATGGAGCTGTTCCTTTTCTTCAGTGGTCTCCTGCATCAGTTCACCTTCCAGAGACCCCAGGGTGCTCCCCCAATCTCTTTCAAGAGCAGGGCTGGATTCACACTGACCCCAATTTCATTTGAAGTCTGTGCGATTGTCCGTGCTCAGAGGGGTGACTCGGCTTTTAACCGACTTTTTACTGATTCCGAGGTACATCTTCTAGACCAACTTATTCCGGGGTTAAAACTGATCTTCAAAAGGTTAACCTACAGTGTTGTAGTCAAGACCTCTTAAGACCATCACAAGACTACCACAAAACCTCCAATTTTAAATTGAGTCACAATCTATTCGAATGAGCTACAACACGAGCACTGCTTTACTAGTGTTCACCCTGTTACTTGTGATCAGTTTTGTCTGGTCTTGTGGAAGGCCATGTGTCTTGTCTTGTGATAGTCTGGGCTGGAACACTTTCAAGAGATTTTTTTAAAATGTATATTTCCACAGAATCACAGGTCTATTATTTTCTCCAGGTTTTTCAATTTCACAGTGAGTTTAAAGAGTTTCATGTCTGTTCTCTGACTGCATTTGTCATGGTTTCATACCTTCTGAACAGGTCAGACTGCTGCAGAATTTATGCTGAAATTTCAAATAATGTAACAAAATAATTTAGACTTTCAGTTTTTGAAACTGCTGCTTGAAACCAAGGTTTAGCTTCTGATTGGAATGTACGTGTACAAGGAAGACACGACTGAAATACATGGTTACATGTTACACTTTCAGGAAAAGATGGCTGTTTTAATTAGAAAAGTAAGGATTTAAATCAGGTGCTAAGTAAATCCCATTTACCAAATCCAAATTTAAATCCCATTAGCTAGCTACTACTTTTAGCGCTTTAAAATATTTTCCTTTGTGTACAAAAATAGCAATTTTTAAATAACATAGGCTAAAAAAAATTCCAAAACAGGAAGATCACTGAAAACTGAAAGAAGTGCATAATCAACACAAATCTACCTTGAAGCTACGTAGCACTTTATATTTCAAAGTTTTACAATTTCAAAGTATATATATATAAATCTGTTTACAGTATGCTGTATCTGTGTTTCATAGACTTTTTTAAGCTCAAAAAGTCATCCTAATTTTAGGAAAATGTTTGCGCATCTTGAAATACAACCCAAAACGAAGAAAACAGTCTGGTGCCTAAATGTAGTGCGGTGATGCGCTTCAGGGCAAATTGGAATCATGCAGAAAGGAAATATGTCAGATCATTTCAAAAGATCCTGTTTCAAAATGTTTAATCTCATCAACAAAACATTTGTTCCTCCCCAGAAGGTCCTGGACTCCAGTGAGGCAGTGCATGAAATAAACAGTTTATTTAGTTTAGGAAAATCTTATACACATTTGTGCTTTAGAGCCTTGTTACGCTGTGTCCACTTTTTATTAAAAAGAGCTGTAAATAACATAAGCTCTTTCGCCACTGTCGTTTCTTTTTCAAACAATATCTCCCTACGTTTAGTACTCCCAAAGTAACCTCTAGCACCAATATTCTGTAACAGCTAGAGCTACACGTATGCCAATAAAAAAATGAGAAATTTCTCCCAACAACTTCAAATCACTTCTGTGCTTTACAGTCAACTGCTGTAAGAACAATTTTACTCTTCGCTTTTCCTCCTCCATTTTGTTGACACTTTGCTTTTCATCCCAAGCTTGAGGACTCCTTAAGTGATCCATGACTGCGCATTTCTGAACCACAGACATGACAGACTAAAACAATGACACTAAAGACCTGTAGTTCTCTAGCACTTGAGTGCAGGTGCCAAAAAGGGGATATGTACTTGAGACCTCTTCTTGAAAAGTACTTGGTGACTACAGAAGACGATGAGCTATGGTACTCACATTTGACAATACTGAAACTCAAACTTACCAGGATGTACTTCACTATGTCCATCATATTTGATGACTACAATACACAGGTTATAGCACTGGAGCTACTTTTCCTGTAATGGTGCTCAGGCTCATGTGGAAGTTCTCACCTACCTCACAGACACTCACTTGGTACATGAATATTTAAAAGTACTTGTGTAGTACCTATGCCTAGCTTTTCAAAGAGGTCAAACTTCACTCATGCTCGTAATCTTTGTAAAAACATTAGGGAACCACTCCAAAGAAATCTGACGAAACACTAATAGATGTGAAATGGAATTTCTGTACTGATGGAAACTATGTTGGACCTTGTTACCAGACTAAACAGCCTATGCATTGTAAGTGCTGGATGACACATTACCGCCGTGGCCTGTCCAGTTGGTGTGGACAAATTTCCCAGGGGCTGACAGAAGCTCGTAAGTATGGGCACCGAAGTAATCACGCTGTGCCTGTAAGACAATCGGGACAAAGGTCACACTCAACAGGACACTGAACAATACTGCCTGTGTGATTCAGCATTTGTAAATTCCAACTTTGTAAAGGACTTTGGTTGCTGTACCTTGTCATTTTAATAAGTATTTCGGCCCATAATCTTGGAATAATCCCACCTGTAAGTATTTACATGTACGCAGTGCAATGTACCTGGATGAGGTTAGCTGGCGTGCGCTCTGAGCGGAAGCCATCAAAGAAGGCCAGAGCCGAGCTGAAGGCAGGCGTAGCAATGCCGTTCAGTGCTCCCTGGGCCACCACCTTGCGCCATGAGTCCTGACACTTGATGATCTCGCCGCGGAAGAAGTCGTCCAGGAGCAGGTTGGACAGCTCCTTGTTCTTGTCGAAAGCCTCCTTGATGTTGCCCAGGAAACGACTGAGGGGAAAATATTCAAACAGTTGTTTGTTTCATCTTTCAGCGCCAGTAAACGCTGTTAAGAAACGAATGACTGCTCACTCTTGCATGTGTCATGAGCAGCAGCCAGGGAGTTCATGTGAATCTATACCATCTACCACAAACACTTGCAACTCATCTCGGCAGGACTTATTTTGAAGAGATGTCCTTGCACAATCCTGATCCTTTCTTAATCCTCAAATCTCTATTTAAAACTAGCACTTTGTCATAGCTGCTTGAATAAGAAATGACATCACAGTTCCGCGAGAAGCAAATTTCTTGTCACATTACTGCCCCTTCCACTCCTTTAATTTTTTGAGTAAAGTAAACGTTGTGAGAGAAATTGCCAGAGTACGCCTGCATTTTTAAAAATTTCTCAAAGAAATTTGGTGCATTTCCCTGAACTATCAGAAGACATCGACAGATTTTTTCTTTACACTGCCCTGCTAAAAATATACTTCTATGTGATTAAGCCCCCTCACTCGTGGTGGCCATTGGCCTGCATTTTTCATGATGCACATCACAAGCACAGTTTCTCTAAACTAACATCATTTCTCTACCTGCGGATAATGCAGCCACCGCGCCACATGAGGGCAATGCTTCCATAGTTCAAGGTCCATTTGTACTGCTTGGCTGCCTCACGCAGCAGCATGAAACCCTGGGCATAAGACACGATCTTTGAGGCATACAGGGCCTGGCGGAAAGAAATAAAACCAATATGATAGCAAAATTGCAAGACTTTGTAAGATGGTGTTCACAATGCAAGCTTAGCCTGAGTCAAACTGACAGTTTTTGAGCAAAGGAACTGACAGGGGTGAAATCTGAACCAGAAACCTGTAGAACATAAAAAAGGCCTAACACTTGGGCTATCCAGTCTTATGTCAGCCATCTTTAGAGTTGGACTGTGTCTTTATTACTTGGCCCCAGCTAGAAATTATGCACAAGTCTATGATAGTGGCTGCAGCCAGTTCCCAGAGAGTTATATGTGATTCAAAGCTGCAGCCAAGTGATTTCCAACATGGTCTTAGTCTTACCAGTATGTCAAAGGTCAATTAGTTTCAGATCACAGGCTCTTTTTATTGAATGAGGCAGAAAAGTTTCTTGTCCTTTCTGTTCTTGAGATAACTTTTGACATGACTTGTGACTAAATCTACCACAAGGCCCTGTCCAAGTCAACCGGCATGGTGTCCAAAAGTGAAGCAGCCACTAGTTAAAGTAATGGCCCAAATCTCTCTCCCTTTGTCAGAAGCCTAGCTACACCCAGTGAGACTTACTTTCCCCTAGAGTCAGGGAGCCAGCCTCTGATTTTGTCCAGAGACTGAAGGCAATGGGCAAGCAAGTTCCACGTACCTGACGGATGTGCTCCACCATTTCTTTCTTGTCACCCTCATATTTGCTGGACCCTGGGCCAGGTAGGACCTTGCTGGCTTCGATGCGAAGGTCCTTGATGGAGGACAAACACCGTGCAAACACAGCCTCACCTGAATGCACAAGACGATCACTGGTGTTTACTCAAAATTCTCATGCAGAATTACAGATGCTGATGAATTGCTAAATGGTGCAAAATCCTAGTTAAATGAAGCGCATGGCCTTTGGCACTGTTTAACTAGTTACTGTGTAAATAAATGTACATGTATTGCAGGAGAATTTAACACATACATAAAACAGTAACGGTGGACTTCATTTTTTTAAACTCCTGTTCATGATCATAAAAGCCAGCTCATCTCCTTGGGACGTATATAGCTCAATTAAGCCATTTCAAGTTCAGACGAACACTACATCTGTGTTGTCATCTCCTTCTAGATTTGGAAAAGCCATTAGTTCTATGAGCCAAAGGCCCTCAGCATGGGCGTCACCAGGATACTTTCCCAAGGGGTGGAAGGGGCCAAAGTACATATGTAGCAAGCGGACAAACCATTAAAGGCTTTTTTTATAAACGGAATACATAAAACACAGCTTTATATACATGTTACGATGCTTTTCCACCTCCTTTGTAGCAGTAATAGGGAAAATTTTTAGCATTTAAAATTTTATGCTCAAAAAGATGTCCATATTCATGAGTAACAGCGTGATGCTAGAGGTTAATTTGCATGGACTAATCCAGTCACCATATTTATTAAGCCATTACTGCAGCTGTGCAATGTGTGCATGCACATTGTGAAAAACGGGTCGGATTCCCAGTCTACTCCGCTTTTTGTAACATGCAAAGACTGTGCTACCATAGCGTAATAGCACCTCTGACTAGTTTCTGGACGATCCCAATGCGACCAATTTGCACGTGAGAAGACCCGTAGTCATAAAGCACTGTATCAGCTACAATTATACAAATAAAAAAAACATTACTACATGTAAACACACAAGCTTGCCTAGTGCTTATACCATCACGAGGGGACCTCCAGATGCGTACACTGATCTAATCAAGTGCCTGGATTTGGCTTAATAGTTAGCAATGAATACCGCCCTCAGTGACCTTAAGCATCTGAATCAATGCCATTTGATTGGTGCTTGACCTTTTAATGTGACAATTTGTTTTTTTAAAATTCTGACTTTAAACCGTAAAGTTGTTTTTCAATGTACACAATTTCGCAAAAGCTTACCGATGAGCGTGACAGGCATACCCTGATCCAGTGCAGATATGGCCGTCCACTTCCCAGTGCCTTTCTACAAATGTCAAGGGCAAAAAAAACACTACGATGAGAGTTAGCAAACACAGCACAGGACACAAACTGTACAACAGGAATTGAGATGAAGTCCATACAGGCCTAATTTAGCAGAGATTTCAAAAGCCCTCAGTGCAAGTGATAATGACCCACACCCAGCAGGTTTCTTGCAGGCAGCATCTGTTTCATTTTCTATTCCTACCGGTATCTTACCTGACCAGCTGAATCACGGATTTTCTCCACCAGCGGTTGCCCGTCAGTGTCCTTGAACTTGAGGATGTCGGCTGAGATCTCGATCAGGAAAGAGTCCAGTTCTGACTTGTTCCACTCCGAGAAAACCTGCCATCAAATGGTTGGATGAAAAAATTTCAGCCCTGGTAATTCATCAAAATGCCAGGTGTTCACTGTCAAAGATTCAGGGTACTACACAAAGTAGCGGAAATCTAGCAGAGGGGCACATGGGGACCACTTTGTCTGTGACCCTCCCAAAAACCTTTTAGCTCATATTACAGAGAAACAATTTATGTTCACCCAACTTTCAGAAATCTTCTGCTGCCCCGCGTATTGGGGGACCAAGAGAGGGTGCAATTTTCTTAGCAACAGAGGCTCCTGTGGTGGGGACTGCATTTCGCTGGTTTGTGAATGACTATGACATGCATGCGTTGAGGTCATGTTGCTACCAACCAAATGAACACTTCCTACCAACATGGCCCTTTCCAACTGGCGAGGGGGTACTTCTGCTCAAGGGGGGTTTTGTGCTTCCACCCATACAACGGCGAAAAACCCATACCAAGGCCAATGTCAGCAAGGAAGTAACTCTACTGTATTTAATTATTCATAAAATTCTACACTATTTCAGAGTCAAATGCTTCCAGAGAGCCCATTCACTTGGGTGGCATGCTACCTGGCCCACTTGAATCAGAAAATTAACAATTCACTTCTAAACTCCTGCTGTTCTTTTGAGTATACAATTGTAGTACTGAATGAGGGCTCAATATCCTAAAACCAGGGGATGGATGTACATGTAGCTCATCATCAGCATCACTGCAAAGGGCCTACTTAAATTTTAAAAAGAGAGCGCCCCAAATTGCTCAGGAGCACAGCCAATGAAAAAAAAGGCTTTGCCCTTTACCTCTGACATTTCATCACAGGACATGCCTAGCAAGTCTTTCATCAGGTGGTAGGCTTCACAGATGAGCTGCATGTCGCCGTACTCGATGCCATTGTGCACCATCTTGACATAATGGCCTGCTCCCTCACTGCCGACCTAGGGTCAAAGGTTAAGAATAGCCACAGAATGGGAACAAACATGGAAGGTTACAAAACCTAAGCACTCCACCTAAGTGGGAAGGGGGTGGGGATGTATAAGCATCGTTGTACATGTATTACCGTTGACGGTGTGATAGTCATCTCATCGAATGACCCCTTTTACAAATGTGACCAAGAACACAAACGTAAGTATGGAGGGCCACCGTATTTCCAGCTTAAAGACACCCATTCCTTTTGAAGCACTAGAGGTGGGAGAAATTCAGACTCAATAGTGAAAACTCTCACATGAAGGTCATCTTTTTTGAGTCAACCATATCAGTTCCCAAACTTGATGCTGATGGCTATCGTAAATATCAGAATGATGTTGGACAGTGGGACCATATTTGCGATAGCCTTGCTCGTTAATGACATTTACTTTCCGGACTTTTCCGGGGGTGGGGGAGTAAAATTGCTCGAAAATAAATCTCCCTGAGATAAAGCATGGGTGTGTGAATGCAACGTTTTCTGAGGTTGTGCCTAAATAGGCTGCACAGTGTCTTGTCTCAAGATTTTCAGCTTTTTAGGTTCTGTCGTTGGAACACAAGCGCTGGGCATGCTTCAAACCCTGAACCAATTTGTTTTAAGTGCACGTTTGTGCAGACAACATGGAGCGTCAATCTCTCTTGACATTTTCTTACCCAGTCACAGCAAGGTTCGTCGCCCACCTTGGCCGCGATGCTCTGGAAGATGCTTTTAATGTGAGGCCTGTGTCAGAATTAAATGCAATTCCTGGTGATTAAAGACTTCTCTGGGTAGGCACAGGAAAAGATGACTTCTTCTTGGAAATGATTTTAACCAGTTAATGCCGGCATTTTTGCAATGGCACACTTGTCCCAGCCACAGCATTACTCATGGCTAAAAATTCTAACTTGTAATGTAATTTTCAGCTGAAAGTAACTTTTTAAAATGCCACTTTTCTGCAGCCACAGTCCACTACTCTTTTGGCATTTCTGAATGATAGCCCTTGTCAGTCATGCAGGCCTCAACATAAAGTTTTTTTAACTACTTGTCCATCGGGCAAGTAGCACTGAAAAATTACTTGCCTAAGGTAAGATTTCATTTGCCCAGACCCTGGTTTAGTTGCTCATTGTGTCCTTGAACAGTTCCTGCCTTCAACCAATCACCATTGATGAAATTGCATCATCACCCCCAACGGGACTCTGATGCATCATCCATATATGTACATGTACATGTACAAGTTCAGGCAATGCCTATTTCTTAACCACTCAACGATTTCGCCTGGCATCATACATGTACATGAAAAAAGTACATGCACAAGTACCAGGGAAAATTCACTAATGTTGAAGTCACAGCCACATGTAAAACAGTCTCCAAGCTTCCGGCTTTCAAGGGTGCACCCTTGCAAAAAGGCCAGAAGTCTGTCCGCCTAGCTCATTAATAAAAGTTATACACTCAAAATATTCTATATTAGAGGGTCCTGAGATCCATGGAACTGGGGAATGGAAGAAATATGGCACTGAACCTCTGGACCAGACTCAGGGCTTCCAATTCTGAGCAAATCCGATGTAATCGGGTCCGAAAATGGCACTATTTGAGCCATTTTGCAGAGGGATGCATTTTCAAAATGGCTACTTTTCCAAGCAGTGAAATTTCCTTCGTTTTAGGGGTGGTCGGCTTTGGGTGAGAATTTCTCAACAAGTCATTGGTCAACCCAATAAAAATTGAAAGGAAAATGAAAGAGGACATGTGGAACATCATTTTTCTGTGCAGCCTGAACACCTGGGAGAGTTGTGAGTATTTTTAAAATATTTTTGAAGTATGGGGATTTATCACTGCTGTCTACGGGAATTTATTTGCAGTGGTGCACCCTCAAAGCTCCACTGCGCCCACGTGCAATAACCAATGTGGTTTGGTACCCAGACACAACGTTATTTTACAGTTTATTTGTGTACGCATTTTCCCTTGTGTGGAAAGGTGCCCTGCTAAATGTACAGCATGCTTCATACACATAAGTTTGTACACTGCACATGTACATGTACGTCTTGAAGCAGAAATCATTGTATACCACATAACTGTTTACTTTTTGCCACTTTTTATAAGCTTTGGTGAAGAGGAAAAAAATCAAAGGCAAATTTGCTGACTACTATTCTTGGCTATAAAAACCGGACATTTCAAGAAAAAATTACCTGTCCTTTGGGCAATTTATCCTTAATATTTACTTGCCCAAAAGAAGAAATTACTTGTTTTGGGCAACCGGACAACCGTTAATGTCGAGGCCTGCAGTCACGTGTCCAAGATTTTGTACAACATTTCTAACTGCATCATTGTTTTTTTACATTCCAAGATGAAGTCAAAGAGCAATATTACTACTTCTGGTACAGTATCCAGCTCACTGCACATGACACATTCAACTGTGACGGATTAACTTGAGCCAAGGTGTGTATAAAGTCAGCAGGAATCTCATGACATGTCACAGAACTCAAGGTGTGTGACATGTCCTCTTGCATTAACTGGTAGAAATCCTCTGCACTGTACGTGTAGAAATCTGCAGAAATCGGTTCACTTAATTTGTGGCACGCTTATTTACGGTAATGACCTGGGCCAGACATGTACATGCTTCTGTGCATTACATGTACATGTACTGGTACATGTACGTGTACCATGGTCCCCTTGGAAAAAACAAAAAGATAACATTTCCCTGAAGGTAACAGAAAGGAAGGAGAACAGGAAATAAACCTTTGAAACAGGATTTTATCTGAACGCTGTAGGGCTCAGGCCCATGGCCAATCTACTGTATGCGATCTATGTACATGTACCTAAAGAACCTTGACATGTTGACACAGCTAAATCCAGTGGATTTAATGAGACCTTTTCAATGAATCTGACCCAGTCAAGCCCAGAGATTGTGACAATGACCGGAGAGGAAGACCATTGCTTCCCATCACTATGGACCTCAGTTACTGTGGGATTTCATACTCAAGGTACATGTAGATGGACTGAAAGTTGTACCTTTCTTAAATCAACTATCGACAGTCACGGTCTACCATTCATATATTTATCACGCACACGAAGTCACTGTCATAGGTCTTTCCTAGAAGGAATTCTGAAGTAAAAATGTCACCTAAATTGTGGTACAGCATATAGAATCTGCCAGAGCATGTTTAAACCAACTCCATGTTATGACACAGGAAACTGCTGCATGTCTACATATCATTCAAGTAGATAGACACTTAATAAGCTACCTCACTTGTGTCATGAAAAGCTCTTGTATAGTCTTCAGCCTAGCGTCTTTACTTTGCTTGTAATGAGGATGCTGGTATGAAGCTCATACTCAACCACACGATAAAATAGTGTACTGTATCTTGATTTCAAGATTAAATGCAATAGCGTAACAATAAAGATACTAAACTTCGTCAATTCTCACGAAGCTTTTTTTTCCACATTTCTCTAGGATTCAGACACTGTGTGAAAAACTCTTTCAGAAGGACAACCGAAGTAGTGGAACAGCCGACATGTCAGCCACACACTCACCAGGCTTCTTCAGCTCCACCGGGCATGAGGGACGGCCCATACCTCGCTCCATCCTCTCCGCCACTGACTCCGCTCCCTACAAACAGCAAACCCTTCTCAGCAAGAGCCTTACACCGACGCTGTGTCCGAACAAGAGAACAACGCACGCACCGAGTTTACAAGTAACAACCAGAACCATTTCTGGGCTTGTGTTTTATTGACGTAGTGTTGATGGGCTTCACTCCTACTCCTCTTGTCATCGACATTATTTCTTAATTTTCAAAAACTTTGGTCTTCGTCTTGTGTGCTTTTCATTTTCATTTCCACCCCCCCCCAGAGCACTATTTACCTTCTCATAGCCAATGGAGACAAATTCTGTTCTTTACCCAATTCTATTTTCAAACATTAGCAGGTGTGTCAAGTTCTTTATGCTTGGAACATGTACATGCCAAGCTTTTATCTAATCAGACTTCCAATGTTAATATCAGATCATTTAAAATTCATAGCACATTGCGTGCATGTTTATTACAGTGGGTAATAAAGGGTTCTATTCACGGCCCCGGCGTCCAAAGTGGGTGCCTCTCCTCCGACACACCTACATGTAATGCTATAGACAAGCACATCAAATGAAAACACAAATGGGCTATTCTATAACGTTGGATACTGATTTAAGTGAGAAATTCAACTGACTTACGTTGGAGTCTACATATTCTGAGTTGCCACCATCAATGATGATGTCACCTTTTTCCAAAAGGGGAACCTGCGAAAAAGTCGGAAAAAAGGTTTGATGACCAAGGGAGCTTTTCAGTAATCATTGAAACGTGTAAGTCAGTGGTAGATGTAATTGATTGAACATTGTTTTGATCTGTGTTTTTTGAGGGGGACGGATGTGGTTAACAGTTTTGTTCATGGTTAAAGTCCATTTGAAGAGACTTGAGCAGAAACAAGCAGAAATGGAATTCTGCAAGGTAACTATATATAGAACACAATGGATTCCTATGGGACTGCACTTGACAGAAATCTTCGGCCAATCAGCGATCTTGTTCTGACAGGGGACACTGTTACAGTGCATGTGCATGTATACATGACTGAACCTTTGTCCTGCCTTCACTTCTATTCACACAGTTGACTTTCTTAACAAGTATAGACAGTATGATCTGGCAGATAAAGAAAACATTTCTACTGATTTGTTGACAGCTCAGCAACTCAGCAGACACCCTGGTGACTTCTTCAATGTTTTGGGTCACAATCTCGTTTCTTTTAAAACTTTTACAGATTTCAAGTAGCTTTGCAATGATATACATGTCAAGCTACTGAACATACTCAAACGAAACTATAAACTACAGCACAGGCCCTATACTGTAGGAATTACACGTACAGCGTTCAATTTGTGGACTTGCCCCGTACAAGTACATTTATATCAAGCAAGAAAATGAGAACGAGGGGTAACCCCTCACATGTCCAATTGCTATACAAACTCTAGACTACTGTTACCTAACACATCCCCCCTACATGTCTGAAAAGAATTCCTCAGATTCCAGAGAAACAATGACTAACACAAAGCGGGGGAAGGGGGGGTTATCTCTGTGTAATATCTTGTTTCTTATGCCCACACTTATGCACACTGTGTCATAACGAGAGCATTGCAACATATGGCAAATCATGAAAAGATGCAACTGTTTCAACCAACAATAAAAAGGAATCGCTCACCAGTTTGTCGATGAAAGCGTCAACTGCTGCCCCAGCCTTGACCAGCATCATGACCCGACGAGGCTTCTTCAGCTTACCCACCATCTCCTCCATCGACATGGCCCCAACGACCTTTGTACCTTTAGCCTCATTGTTCAGGAACTCTGTCACTTTAGAAACGGTACGATTGAAGGCGCAGACCTACATGTGCATTCCGCAAAATGTGGACAGAAAGTTGATAAAAGATTTGTTATAAAAGATAACTGTTGGAAAGGATTGTGCACCCTTGAACAGCTCCTTTGGTGTGAAAATGGCAACTAAAGAATAAATCAGACAGAAAAGAGACAGACTTCAAGTATTTGTAAAAGCTGCACTGGCTATTTTTTTCCTTCCCCAAATTTTATTATTTTGGCAAGGTACTTGTACAAGCAACGATATGCAAAAATTCCAAAGTTCATACAAAAAACCCCACTGAGATCATTAAAAACTTGGTGCTGTTAAGAAAAGGACAACTAGGATCAGATTATATCCACAAAACCAAAGACACACTCAAAAAATCCAGTGACATCAATGTTTTACTTCAAATAGGATTTTGTAAGAGAAAACAATTTTCAAATACACGTACATACAAGTACACGCAGTTTAATTGTACACGTTTTTGCAAATCAGAACTACCATACCACCATCTAAAATATCTGAAGAGCCAGTCAGAAAATGGCTACATGCGCCTCTGGTTTGGACAAAACATTAAATTAGAATTCTAAAACAAAAAATGAAAAGGGGAAAAACATTTAAACTTACCACAAATCCATGATCATTCATGTTCAGGATCAGGTTCTGGCCCTGGTAGACACAACAAAAAAATCAACAAAAATTTACAAACGAAACAGAAGGAAATCAGCAATTTTTCAGACCACCTCAATAATAGTAAAACTGGAATAGGCAGGCAAAGTCTCTCTTAAATTGATAAATATGATATTACTGTAATATCAGGTTGTAGGGTTACTTTGCCTGTTATTAACATATTATCTTTATACATAGATGTCACAACATGAAGACAATGACAGTGCTTATGTACCGTACAGTAGTTATTGATGTGTAGTTATATTGCATACAACATCAGTAATCCTAACAGGCCGGAGTGCTCTATTGCCAAATCAACTTTTTCACGCAACCTTGGAGTTAGGCTTAAGAGGACCATTCTTTTGTAAGTGGCACAGTACTTGCGCCATCTTGTCTCCTCTTTCTCGCACAAAAGGGAAAGCTGAAAAACCAGTAACCTGGCTATTTGACAAGAAATGCAAAGTACACTTACCATAACGGCCAAGCCAATCAGTGCAATATCGGCCCTGCAGAGAAACAATAAAAACGCAACACTTGAAGAACAGTCAAACAACATTTACAAGTAGGATCCCATGGCTAGTCATATCCAAGAATTCAACCTTCCATACTTCCCCTTTTTGGAAGCTTTATGAGAAATCATGTGTGAAAGCTGCCTTGTTGCGAAAGCTTTTGACAAATAAATGGGTAATTTGAAATATTCTTGCACTGGAAAGAACAAGTAGGACAATCAAGCCAACTGACCCCAAAACCTGCACCATGAGTATTCACTATTACCCACACTGCCGACATTTTAAAAATAAATCTATGTTAAATGTGCATTATACATGTACATGTATGTATTGTACATGTACATGTATGCGACAGAGAGTCAGAGTGCTTTACATGGTCTGGAAAGCACAGTACACAGAAAACGAGGGAGAAGTGCATAGAGCCACAAGTTGACACAGAGGCTTTTCAAAGAATCTTGATACCCTCTACACTTTTCACCCACAAATGTCAGCTTTTGTCAGGATAAAAACAAAGCACAGAAAACTACAGTAGCTGTTCCTTTGACATTTTAATGCAAAAAAACACACAACAAAAGGCATTCGTAAATGGTCTGACGTTGTGGCATCTGGTCACAAATACTGTACCAAAAAACAAGGTTCCTTTTAAAGGGCGAGACAGTGCTTGAATTAAACGTACAAGTAACTTACATGTAAAAACTTACCTTTCACCACCATATTCCATTTGTTTGGGCCGTTGGTCTATGGGCAATTTTCCATTGCCTTTCTCATCTCTGGGCTGTTCATGCGGGGGCCTTTTTACTTGGATATCTTTGCCATGGCAACTCCCCATTGTGCCTTTACCCATCTTGCGTAGTTTGGGGGCTCAATGAATCCACGGTTTTTTTCCTTTATTCCCTATCAATTAACAGTTCTGGTTTTCAGGGAAGCTGTCCTTGATACTGCTTTATGCAGTCAATGGACTGCTGGGATGCAATTTACAGTATGCTCAGTCTTCGGCAGAAAACAATAACTAAAACTGGTATTCTGCATTTTCACTACCAACTCCATGAAAACAATTTTTAAAAATGCATTAATTACATTTGGTTTTACTGTTGATTTAGTCAAAATAATTATGCACTTTTGGTTGTAAGGACAGTTAGCAGCATGAATACCCACATCAAGTTTTCATACATTTACATATACTTAAACTACAAACCCTAACGATCTCTAACCAGCCAAACTCCAACACCAGGGTCTGCTGATATGAGTACATGTACATGTGTACATGTACCTGTACTGCTCTGACTATGTGTTTTATGTGACATTAGACATAACACAAATCAACAGACGATTTGATAGGATGAGGACGATCCCACTACACGTCAATCATGCATGTAGAAGAAATGTACATGTACCATACCTACATGTACTGTACATCATGTTTGTCTAACTTTAAAAGCATGTTTGGAACATGTTAGTTGGAATGTCACTCTTCTACATGTACATGTAAGTTGCCCTACATGTGATCTTCCCATTCAAGAAATACGTACACATTCACTGCCTGAAATTTGAATGCATGGCCTAGTATTAGTACAGCCTACCTACATGTACATACATGTACATGTACATAGTATAGATGTTTGTGAGTGACTAAAATAAGTCGACCGAGAATAAAACCTACCCAAATTTGACACTGCATATACATGTAGGCACTCTGGCTGTACACTGGTACATATCGTAGCCATACGATGAAACTCAGGTATGTCAGGGAGTGGAATTGAAAGTACCAGGAAGGAGCTGAAATTTACTTTAGTTTGTACAACATTTAATTGTAAATGGCTCAAAAAAACAGTAAAAAGGAAATAGTCGTGTTTGTTTTCCCAGTTTACCCATACACTAATACAAGGGGCATGTGTGAGTGAAACACAGCAGCGGTTATTTTTAAATGCACACATGTATTCCTTCTGTAGAAATAGTAGACTGAACAAAATTTACTTACATCTACCAGTATAGATCTGTTAGGACATTAAATGGACCGTGGACGGACAAAGATTTTCATGTAAAATAAAAACAGAAATCATCCTACTGGTACTTTTACAGTCCGGTTTATAGCCCTATTCTGATGCCTTTGTGAATGAGGAGTGCTGAGATACATGAAAAATGAAACCAGTGAGGAAACACTGGTAACAAGACGGTAACTTACAGGCAGACTGTGAATTCAGTACACTCAACAATGAGTATACAGTATTATGAACATATCGGCAAAACTCCAAGTGTAATACTGTAATTAACATCCCTTCAATGTAAAACTTACATCTAATAAATATGTGGTCAAAGTGAGGAAGTTGTGAGTTCAATTTAAGTCCCACCCAAGTAAACTGGTGAATGTTTTCAAAGCCCCTGACCAAAACTGAGTAGGCCTATACAATGTTACGTAGCAGTATGTTTGAAGGGTGTAACACCCGTTGTAACAATTATGTGTATGTATTTTTTATAGGCAGGTGACCAGGGCCTGCCTACTCCAGTCGATGCATAGGCCTTCGTACGTGTACTGTAATTTGTTTTATAAGGTCAAGTATTTTTGGCAGAGTAGAAATGAGGCACCCCACACGCACACCCATGAGCATCAACAAGATGCACTATTTGCAGAGTTAACAGCGGACCAGAAAAAGACCCACTGAGTGTGTGTTGTTCCACACAACTAGGACTTACTTGGAGATAAGAATAGGATCACCTGTATTTGCATACGACCTTTAAGCCTGAGTAAGTCTTCAATGAAACTTTGATACTCTGCAAGGCCAACATTTGATGTGATGTCTACAACTATTACGGCCGGGTTCGCACCAATAAAATGCAAAGGAAGTCACACAAAAAAGGGAAATTACAAACATTTACTGTAATTACAGAGTGGGTGACCGGCATTCCCAAACCAAGCTGAAGAACTACACGTACATGTAGATCGTTTGAAGTACACTCATGAATAAAAATTAACAGCTAAGAGAATTGTCAACTATCAGGATCACCTAATCCAACCTGGTTTTGAAAGGATGGGGGCCACAATTCTTGATACAGTAGCTTGAGGGGAAACATTGCATGCCGGCAAGTGGTTTTCCAAATATTCAGAACTTTTCAACCCCACCAAAGAGAATTCAGAAACATACTGAACTAACACTTTTCAATTACAACCAACCACATAAAAGTATACGGAGACACTGGAATCAATTGCCCCGGTCACTCCATGTACTTTTTGCTGGGGGGGGAGGGGGGAGTTACTGAAGTGCCCATTGTACTGGCAGTGCGTCAGCAGACGCACACAACAATCACCAGGCTCCAAATAATTTTGCTAGATCATGCTGCCAATACATGTACATGTACTATACATTCACACACGGCATGCTTCTGAGTAACCAATGGCATTGCAAGACTGCGCAAACACAGAGGGCAATGACTGATGTATTCATTATTTACTTTTTAAATACCAAAAAAAGTTTCAGGATGGTTAGAATGGCAAAATTCCAACACAAAAAACCTCAGTCTATTTTCTATGTACATGTAGCTAAGCTACACTTCAGTACTACCTCTTACAATGTGCCGTCAACCGTGATGTAATGCAAGAGGCAATGTGGAATATGAATTTTTACCTCCCCCCACCAAAACTACATGTACACAATGCCCAAGGAAATAGACTCTGTGTGATCCAAATCATACCTACATGTACGGCATGGCGGTTATGACATTTTAATTAAAGTGATGTAGGGCAGGGAGCCAGTGGGAAAAGATTCTACGTTCCTCAATCAATAAACTGTGTAGTGACTGCTCCTAGACACTGCCAAGATTCAAGGATAAATTAAAAGTTTCAAGCTGGTCAGGTCTGGCATCAATATTCTCCTTGACATAACAAATTGCGCTTTTTTACACGGAGAAATCTGGGGTTTATTTTGGAATTTTCTGACGCGACTTAAACTCACTCACACCTGCAAAGATCTGTAAGCCCTCAATATGTGTGCCTAGTGGAAGTGCACTCAGGAATTTTTTCCCCCACATACGTGTACACGTACTGTACAACAGTACATGCACATGCAGGTAACTGCCAGGTACTCCGTACATGTACATTTACCTACATGTACAAGTAAAGAGTTGGCTAATTTGGCTTTTATGCCCTTTTCCGGACAGAAGAAAATGACGAAAATTATAACCGGAAATTAAGAAAATAAAAAAAAAACCAAAACATAAGAGTCTCATGTTGTGACCAACACTCTTAAAAATGAAATACTGGTATATCCACGTGCTTTCTTTTTGCAATGAATTTAACTGGGACTTCAGTAACATGTTCCAGGGCTGTTGCGAATAGAGTGGTATTTAAAAGGAAGAAGATGGAAAAAAAATAAAAGCATTAATGTGCAAACATATGCCCTGGATAGAGTGTACATGTACATGTATACTAAAACCATCTGGTATCACATACATGTAAAACATTTCCACTTCAGTTGGATCAGAATTTTTTGTTCGTTTTAGTTCTCAAGTGCTCAACATACTGTGCATTTACAAGTTTACATACATGAACTGTATGTGTACGGTTCAATGTCATAAGCCATAACATGTACTGATGAAATGAACAGGACTCCAGAATTCAGAAAGAAAAAGATGAAATTCCAGTATACATGCACGAGTGTATACCAGTAGAGAAGAAATATGAAAAATTGTTTGCCTGGTGGTTGAAAGCGATGTCACTTGTACAGTACAGTGAGTACTTGAACCAGGTCTGTGGAACAAATTAAACATATGTGTAGTGAATCACCNAAGAGTCTTTGCAGAAGTCTGTTTTTTCTTTTCTCAGTGTTACATGTACGTAATTCAAAACTGGGGGAAAGTTCGAAAACTTTGGGGAAAAGTTGTCATCAAGATGATCTGAGAATGGTTCCATAAATTTTGTTCCCTTCCTGAAGTTAACCTTGAGCACACCTACTCAAGCAAGGTGCTGCGCATCGATCTCATTATTACTGTGCTTACATGCACTTGTACCAGTACAATCATGTCTATAAATCTAAACATTCTCAGCTCACCAGGGAATATGTAGGCCTACAGTACAGAGTATTTTGTACAACTCTCTGCTGTTATCATGATTACATGTACATCAGGTGGAAATGGTTTATCATTGCTGTTCTCACAGGTGTATCTATAAACTTCTCAATTAAAGACCAGACTACTTCTTTCACTTTTGTGTTTAACTCTTCTGTGTTTGTTTAATGTACAACAAGATTACATAGAAGCTACAAGTACCTTGTAAGTGCAGGTAACTTTGAAAGTGTTTGTGTCAACAATGTACACCTGCAGCTCAAATGTTCAACCAAAGTATCTGTTTTACACCTATGTAAGTGGCATGTCTGATGTTTGAAAAAAGTCATGAACACTGTAGCTGCAGTCTTCACTTGTGTGAACACTCCCTTTATGAGCCACACCATTCTGGCAGGATATGCACTGAAAAGAGGGATTTTCTCATCTTCCTCTATAAATTCATTTTGGAATTTGATGTGACTTCATCAGCATTGCCTTTGGCAACCCAGCGCATGCAGTGCCATAAGAAATCCATAAGAATGGGCCTGTAGAAACAATCGAGCATAGTTCACAAAGTGACTCGCACACAAACATGGAGGGAACAGGCCTAATGAATTTGGCATAAAATGTTACTTTTATTTGTAATGAGTTCACAGGAGATGGAATTCTCAATTAGGTCTATGCAACACGAATGAGACCACTCCCAGGGAAGTGCTGACGACCCCTGCAGAAAATGACCTGCCACCCATCACAGATTGTGGATACTTGTACTGTACACATGTACACTACAGGAACTGGTTTACCTTGCAATGCAAACATTTACCACATGTCAAATACACAAGGAAGTAGAGCTAGAATTT